CTAATCCTTCAGCACCTTAAATTCAGTTGCAGTGAGAAGATAGTCTTTTATATTTTGGAATTCGATGCTTATCATATCCAATGCAGTTTTATTTGTTAATATAGATTTAATCATATCGAATTGGCTATTCCAGCGAATAGCCATACCCTGTACTAACTTTATTTTAGTTTTATAACGAAGTGTTTTTTGAACTTCTTTTAACTTTTTTTGTATCATCTCTGAATGATTAAATGAACCAACAATGTACCTGCAGGATGAAATTACTTTGGCGATTTATAATTTTACTTCGTTAATTTTTTCAATTTCTTTAAATTCACTATCTGTAATTTCTCTATTAAATAATTTTCCATTACCGTTGTAATCTTTTACTTTGTAACGCTTTGACCCATTATAAAATTTTTTTATTTTTATATCTCTCGCGTTTAGAAGATCATTAACCACGAGATTCAAACGATGACCAGCACACGGAATTTTAAAAACATTATCATCAAATTTATTTACTGCAAAGAAAATATTTGCACCTGAGTCAGTAACTAGTGCAAAAATCTTATTTTTGATTGACCATTCACTTTTAACGTAATAAATAAATATTTAGCTGTTTTCATTTCAGACATAAACTTAAGATCCAGGTTTTGGTCAACTTGAGTCATATTTTAGACAATAAAATGAAAAGTCCGAGGTGGCTGTTTTTATCCAATGATGACCAACTGTCACAAGTAATTGTAATGAAACGACATCCTTTCAATTCTAACATTAAAATTGATTTAAGATCAATTGATAAATGGGATTGGGTTGAATTGGTCGAACTGTTGTAAGGTAAAATCTTATAACATATCCTGCATTTTGTTTGATTCTTTTGGTCCGTTTCGAAATATGTCCAAACAAAGCTTCGTTTTCTTATTCCTTTCTTAATAACGGATTTATTTGTTTTTGACATTGTTTATTCAAACTAAAAAGCGAGTAGTTTTTTTACTCGTTTGTATGTAACAAATATTAACAAATTAGTAACTTATGTTAAAATAAATTTGTACCACGTGTTATTTTTCACTTACGTACCGAGATATCAATGAGATTGTTATAACTTTAATATAAACATAGTCATAATATACATATAATATATAAATATATATCTGATATTATGACTATGATATAAAGTTAGATTTTTTTTAAAGTTATGTAACACAAAAATCGCAAAGGCGATTTGAAACCGTTGCAAATCTTTAAATAACCACTAGTGGTTATTGTGAAATAACCACTAGTGGTTATTAGAGAATAATTAGACGTTTACATTGCAACAACGATTTCATGTCATGCGTTTAAGGCCTCAAGGGAAATGCCGTTGAGGAATAATAATGACTTACGTGCGTGCTGTGAACTATGCATTCTAAGAAGGTTCATTCTTAAGAAATTTCTTGTTTAACCAGTTAATATTTATTAGATTTTAGAGAAAAATTCGAAAAACAATTTAGTTTTTGCTAATTTTTTGAGGCTGACCTTCTACTTTATTTTTAAAAATTTACAGATATTAAAAATAAAATTCTTTACAGACTCAGTTACGCAAAAAGTTACGCAACTTTTCTTTCAAAATGACGCTATTCAAATTTAGTTTGGATGAATTTGATTTTTAATCGTTGTGTTTTTGAAATAAGAAAAGTATTTTCAAAAGAAATTTTTATGTAATCAAAACGACAAGCAAAAAAAACTTTTTTTTAAGCTATTAAAAAGACTATTCAAGGTTTTTGTGAGAGTAAATATAATCGCTAAGAATAATTTTATAAAAGTAAAAAGTCATGAAGCATAATCTGATCAGGTAAGAGAGGTGAAGGAGAAGGTATTATTTGTCCCAGGCAGCAGATGTCTATGGGGCATCAATGGATTGTAACTAATAACAATAACTAATAACTTTGTATAAAGATAAACAAATTCCTTAAGAAAGTTTACTTGTAGTTGATAAATATTATTGTTATATTTACAACACCAATCAAGAACTTTGAGCCAAAAACCAAGGCCCCAAAATTTAAAAAAACCTGTTACTAAAATTAAAAAAGCTCCCCAAATTCGGTAAAAGGCCCTCAAAAATTTAAAAAAAGAACCACTAAATTTGCCCCCCTATCTAATTAAGGGAGGAGCGTGGGGAGCCTATACACGGCTCTAAGTATATTCTTGCTTTTTGGTAGCAGTTTCTTTTAAAAAGTAGCCAAAATAGTACTATTTTCTATATATTTAGAGTTTTATTAAAGTTAGTAATTTTATTTTATTCCGTTTTAATCACCTGTTTGTCACAAATTTGTAAACCCTCTCTCACCCCCCGGTTACAAAGTGGCAAATAATCCGAAACCCCGCTCGGCCTAAATATGTGAGGTGATTTGCGAACGACCCCTGAGTTATTTTTAAAATAATTGCAGATTCTTCTATAAAATATTAGGAGATAGTTAAAATTTTCTATAAAATATTGGGAGGTAGTTAAAATTTTCTACAATTATAGTAATAAAACAAATATAAGCAAATTTTAGAATTTAATAGTAATATTTGTACATTGTGTAATGCTTTCAGTATTTCGAAATAACTAAAATATTTCTAAGCAAGTTTTAGAATTTCAAAAGTAAAAATTTTTTTTCGGTAGTATTTTCAGAATTTCTTTATCACAAAAATATTTTGAAGCAAATTTTACAATTTCGAAAGTAAAAAATTGTTTCGGTAATATTTCCGATTTTCGAAATCGCAAATATATTGCGAAGCAAATTTTATATTTTCGAAAGTAAAAAATTATTTCGATAATATTTGCAGAACTTCAAAATCGCAAATATAGTTCAAAGCAAATTTTACATTTTCGAAAGTATAAAATTATTTCGAAAATATTTTCAGAATTTCGAAATCGCAAAAATATTTCGAAGCAAATTTTACAATATCGAAAGTAAAAAATTATTTCGGTAATATTTTCAGAATTTCGAAATCGCAAAATTATTTCGAAGTAAATTTTACAATTTCGAAAGTAAAAAATCGTTTCGATGCAAAATTAATTACTTTAACATTATTTCGAATTTACCAAAACGAAAAAAGAGTTTCGAAAACTTTTTTTTTAATCGAAAATTCAACTTTGGCTTTCGTGAACAACCCTATAAAATATACTCTGTAGTGAAGAACCGTAGTCATTTTAAAAGTTCAAAAGTTTTTCGTATTTTTTCACGCATGCGTACCTAAACATGGCGCTTGTATACGACCGTGTGCATAATAAAACATTTTTGTATATAACCAACCGAAGTAATGTAATTGTTTAGGTTCTTACATTATTGTTGAAACCGATATTTAGAAAGGGAAGAATTGATGGTAGTGCCTTTTATTGTTCTTATAACTTATTAGCACTGAACCATGTTTTAGGTTATTGAACCTTAAGGTCAACTTTGTCTAAAAAGTCATCGATAGAAGATGAATAAAACAGATTTGTGTCATCTGCAAACATTGTGCAATCAAGATTTGGAAAGGATTGGAAGGATTGGAAAGGATTGGAAGGTCATTAATGTATATAAGGAATAAAAAGGAGGGCATGAATTGATCCCTGTGGAACACCACATTTTATTTTTTATATCTTTGAAATAGATTTATCGCCGATTATGACACATTGTTGCCTATTATTTAAATAACTGGTGAACCATTTAATAATTTTGTTTTTTATAACATAGTTTTTTATTTTTTAATCAGAATTTTGTCGTTGACCGTATCGAAAGCTTTTGTAAGATCAACAAAGACTCACAATACAAATTTTATCAAAAGATGAGCTGATGTTGTTCACGAGGTCTATGATTGCATGTCGAACAATTTTTTAGAAAATGAATTCGTGGATAGCTCATTTGGTTATAGCGTCAAACGAAAAGTTAAAACACGGATACGAGTTCAAATCCTGCCACCGCAACTCAGCGCTTGAGTAGTACTTCGGTACGCAAAAGTTTTGGACGCTACTTTGGATTAGTCTAAATGACTACTGGCGATTTGTTCCTTATGCTAAGCCAACAATATCTTCGAATATAACATTGTATAGAAAAATATAGCATGAAAATTCAAATAAATAAATAAATAATTAAAAACCACATTTTTTTTTAATTTTTTGACATTTTATTTTTTTGACCTAAAAATGAAAAAGGTTCAAAAGATAAGGAGACTATAATAGGTATGGTCGAATCTTTTGAACGCCAAAATATATTTTTATAAAATTTCTACTACATATATCTAACTATTAAAAGGGTGATTTGTTTATATTTTAAAAACTCTTTTTCTTAAAATATAGGCGTGAAATTGTATGCGAATTATTAAAGTGCATATATTAAGCTACAATGTATAGCTACTGCTATAGTATACAACTTGAAATAACTGCGACGGCTTCTTCCATTTATTTTTTTTTCATTTTCATTTACTGCCACGGTATGATTCACGTTAATCACAAATAATTTGTTAAGCAACTTGCAAAAAATAATCAGTACAAAATATATAGATATAGCAAAATATAAAAGTTGTGAATGTTATTTTAAATTAATTTGGTTAATGTTACACTATTGAACAATAAACTGTAAAACAAGCTAGTTACTTATAAAAAAGTCTGATGTTTTAAGGTGTTAACAAATCCCAGTAAGCACAGATCGTTTTTAAAACGTTTAAAAAACGTTAAAAACCGTTTTCAAAGGTTTTTTAAACGTTTTAAAAACGTTCTGTGCTTACTGAGATATCTCCGATTTTTAAGATGTTAACAAATATCTTCGAATTTATTTCAATTCATGTTAGAAAGCGAAAATACTACAAATATTTTTAAAACATATCGTTAAAAACTTTACATATCTGTACAAATATAAGAAACTACAAAAATTTAAAAAATAAAAAATATAAAAAGTTAGAAAATAAAAGGAAAAAGGAACACTAAAAAAAAATATATTTAAATATTAGGAAAAACTTGCGACATGAAAATGTCATTAAAATAAAAAAAAATTGAACAAAAACAAAATAAAACCATA